AGATATTTTGAAGAATGCTGGAAACCAGTAACCATTGACTTACATATTAGGAACAATGAATATTGTTTAAATCAATGGTGAACTGAATTGAGTTACAGCATTCTTCAAAGTATCTTCTTTTGTGTTCAACCGTAGAAAGAGACTATTAAAGATTTGAAACAGGGAGGATTTTTGAGTGAACTGACCCAAGCTTGTGTTATCCAGTAAAGAAATTCACACAGCAGCATCATAATCCATTATTAATAGTTCAACACTCTGCTTAAACAGAAAATCTAGTGAAACTTTAGTCTGAGTTTTGTTGTGGTCATCTATTTTGTATTGTTCATAATCTACAAACATAAACACAATTAACAATAATACACTTGTGATGTGTGCATATTGTATATTGCATAGTTTATTTTAAAACACGTTAAGCTTGAATAATAACCGCTGATGTAGACATCGTCTGAAGCAGATCTTCTCTGTGAGTTTCTGATTGTGCATTAAAGGGTCAGTTCACCCGGAAATAAACATTTACTCACTATTATTACTCTCCCTCAAGTGTTTATAAACCTTTATGAGTTTATTTAATCTGCTGAACACTAATGAAGATATTTGGAAGAATGCTGGACACCGGTAACCATTGACTTCCATATTAGCATAAATGAATATTGTTTAGTAAATGGTGAATTGAGCCAAACTCAATGGTTACAGCATTCTTCAAAGTTATTACCCTACAAAGTAATAAGTGGTGAAAGTTTTTTTGTGGTCATCAATTTTTAAATGGGTCATAATCTACAAACATGAATGCAGTTAACAATAATGCACTTATAATGTGTTGATAATAAGATAATTTGAAGAATGATGGAAACCGGTAACCATTGACTTTCATAGCAGGGAAATCAAGGGGTGGCGCGGTGGGTAGCGCTGTGGCCTCACAGCAAAAAGGTTGCTGGTTTGAGTCGTGGCTGGATCAGTTGGCGTTTCTGTGTGGAGTTTGCATGTTCTCCCTGCGTTCAAGTGGGTTTCCTCTGGGTGCTCCGGTTTCCCCCACAGTCCAAACACATGCGCTATAGGGGGACTGGGTAAGCTAAATTGTCCGTGGTATATGTGTTTGAATGAGAGTGTATGGGTGTTTCCCAGTGATGGGTTGCAGCTGAAAGGACATCCGCTGTGTAAAACATATGCTGTAGTAGTTAGCGGTTCATTCCGCTGTGGTGACCCCTGATAAATAATGGACTAAGTCGAAAAGACAATGAATGAATGAGAAGGAAAGTCAAATACTGTTTAACTCGATGGTTACAGCATTCTTCAAAGTATCTTCTCTTGCGTTCAACAGAAGAAAGAAAGCATGAAGGGTTGGAACAGAGATAGGGAGAGTCGATGATGATGACGGAGTTTTGTGGGTGAACTCAGCCAAGGTTGCGTTATGCAGTGAGGAGATTCACTCAGCGACATCATGATCCGTGTTTAATAATTCAACACTCTGCTTAAACAAGCGCTGAAACTTTAGTCCGAGTTTTGCAGTGTTTTCTTGCGGTCATCTATTTTGTATGGGTCATAATGTGAATGTTCACGTAAATGCAGCTGCACATGGTGTCCATGCCGGACGCGTTTGAAGCAGATATGGAGAGAGAGAGAAAGCGAGGGCATGTTTTTTCCTCCTCCAAGGGTACTGCTTTTCCAAAAAGTGCCTGAGGCGAGACTGCAGCACCTCGTCTCCCGGAGGCCTTTGGGCGTCTCCTAACACCCCCCCCCTGTCTGGCCCCGTCTCAGAGGTGCATGCTGGGATAGCTCCCCCTCCCCCGCTCCGCTTCTGCTTGTGTCGTCCTCGTGTTTTCACATCCGCACAGGTTCAAATGGCAGAGTTGCCAGGGAACAGTCAGAGGCCATTAGCGTTTGGGACGATTCGCCCCGCGGCGCTGCTACGCTAACCAGTGCGCGGTTCGGGGTGGGGGGGGCATGTAGATTAGCAGCTTCACATGTAATGAGCAAGTTTGCCCTTTCTTTTCTTTTCTTCCTCTTTCTTTCTCTGTCTCTAATCCTGTCGCATCATTTTTCTGATTATTTCCACTCCTTTGACTCACTGTCATGTGTGTGTGTGTGTGTGTGTGTGTGTGTGTGTGAGGATATGTCCACTATTAGATTTGTTCAATAATTCACTATATGGTTATAATGCACAATATTGATACGGCGAGCACCTTAAAATACTCTTATTTATTACTGAAACTTTTCTGACGGATATTTTTAGATTATTGTGTTTGCAGAGATTAATTTTCAGAGTGGATGAAATAGATAAGATACAGGAGAACAAATGTTTTCACATGGTAATCTTTCCTATGATGTAATATCGGCCTTTCGTTTGTTAACTGTACAGTAGTGATTCATTTGTTAACATCCTTTAATTTAACCAATGGCGACTTTAAAAGCATGTTATATACTTGACAAATGATCTTTTTACAGCTTAGCTTAGCTCAATATCATGATAATACTATTATTATTACGATTATTATACTATATATATATTATAT